GGAGCTTTGTCAGAGCATCTACAGCTATTGGAAACAGGCCACACCCCCAAGGAAACTGCCTTTCAGTGGATTGGCTGCTCACAGCAGATATCATTATGGAGGTGATGACATTGTATCCAATCTCATCTTGGGGAATGATGGCATCGTAACAGCCAAACCACTGAGAATCCTGGTACAACCATGTTGGCATCACAAGGGGCCAAATCACCACCTGTTGAGAACTGCTATAAACATTTAATATTTTTCCTCTTTGTATATAAATGTCTTACAGTCAAGAAAATATGGTTCCTGCTTGGAAACACCCATACATATCCGAATTTTCAACTGTTTCAGTATCTTTCCATTTTTTTGTTCTTTATTAATACCTCTACCTGGATGCCAGAAAAACATCTCTGCTGCTTCCCTGTGTTTCCAACAGGGACTTAAGATTCTCGGACAGAGGCCATGTGACTGGAATCGCCACTAAGACCGGAGTTTCTGATGTGAGTCAGAACTGACTCGACAGCACTTAACAAGATTGACTAGAGATGCCAAAATCTGGAAGCCTTAAATTAACACCATATTCCAGTTTTTGTAGGGAAGCTAGATCTCTGGAAGTGACCTAAACTTGTCACTTCCGTTTTCATTTGCCCCTATTTGCATAGTCTACACCCCACTGTGGTGTGTAGCACTGTAGGATAAGCGCTGGACTTCCAACCACATGGTCAGCAGTTCAAACCCACCACCCACTCCACAAGACAAAGATGAGACTTTTGGTTCCTATAAAGGTTTACAGCCTCAGAAATCCTATACAGGTCCACTGTGAGTAGGAACCAACACAGTGGCACCTAATGATTAACTGTCTGTCTAACTAGAATGCCCTCTTTAACTGCCAGTTTTCCATGGGCCCAAAGTCAAGGCGCCATTCAAGACTAAGCTCAAATGTATCTTTCCTTTTCTGGGGCTTCCAGTAAAAGTGATGCGAATTGTCAGCTCTTTGAGAGCAGGGACCAGTGTCTCATTCACTGACGAATTGGCATATCCCCTAGCATTTTATTCTCACATATGGTACTTACAGTGTGATACCTTGTGAAATAGCTGTTGATGTACGTGCCTTTTTCTTCTACTAAAGTGTAAGAACCTTTCGAGCAAGATTCATCGTTCTCCTGTCCTTAACACTGAATAGACATCATAGAGCTGTGTAATTGTGCCATCAAGTTGGTTCTGACTCATAGCAACCCTGTATAGGGTTTCCAAGGAACATCTGGTAGGTTTGAACCACCAACTCTTGGCAGTTAGTAGCCCAGTGTTTTTCCCTCAGCCCCATACTAGGATTCCATTCATAAAACTGCATTACTCAGAAAATGCTGTGATGCATTGTGACACTGTAGAATAAGCACTGGACTGCTAACCATAAGGCTGCCACTCTTTGGAAAACCTATACAGAGTTCTCTGGGTTGGCACCAATTCCACAACACACAATAACAGCAACAATGTGCTTCAAAAAATGTTAGCATTAATTTGGAAAGTAATGTAAGCAATGACGGGCCACCCTCAGAACACACCTTTTAACTGACATGATATTTTTCTATGTTGTATTTGGGAAACTTGAGTCACCTCTGCATTAACTTGGAGTTTCCTTCTTAGAAATAGACATCATTCTCATTTTCCTGCTAAGCCTTGGAGCATGAGACCTCTGGTTTTGAATACTTTCTTCCTTGTTACTTGAACTTGGCCAGTTATTTAATCTGTAAATTTGCAATTGGCGTGTCTATAAAATAAAAATAAGCGTCGATCTAAGGGAAAAAGGATGTGTAAAGCATTGATTCGTGTGCTGATGATCAAAAATATATAATTACTGACTTTGTCCCATTTTAATTAGTTTTACATTTGTAGGATACTTGGGTTTGGGTTTAAAGCCTTTCCAGTGATTGTTTCAAGTCTTCAGTTTGGACACGACATGGTAGGGATGGCATTTGTTCTGTCCAGGATCATCTGGGGCCACTTCCCATGGCTGGCAAGTTGCCACTGGCTGTTACCTGGGCTTCTGTCCATCTACACAGTTCTCCCCGAGATAGCTAGAGCTTCCTCACACCGTGGAGGCTGTGCTCTGAGAAACAGTGACCTAAGGAAGTAGAAGCTGCCAGACATGGAGACCGGCACAGCATCATTTGACCTGACAGTCACAGAGGAGATTTCAAGAGCAAGAACTTGGAGGACCGTGAACAAATCAGTCGCCATCTTCCCTAGAGAGTCAGGCATGTTGGAATCGTTTTTCCCCTCCTTAATCGAATCACTTAAGTCGTTGCTAAAAATAATAAAATGGAAACTATTCTAGAATGTAGAATTTAAGTCAAACTAGTTGGAGTGCAATCTCGGGAAGTTTGAGATCATACAGCTACCATTTTAGTGGCCAGTTTGTAAATGTAAATATGTAAATGTAAATACCTCTTGTTAATTCTGCATGGTCTATGAAAGGCTGATTTGAGCGGTTACCTATCTTCAGTAAAGATTGCTTTTGCATATTTGCTGTCATTGCATATTCTGCTTAATTAAGTTCTTTGTTGATTTTGTAGTTTCTGTTGATTCTTACATCTTAGATGCAATCTGAGGGGACAGGGAAGACCTTTTTAAAGCAAAACAATTGCTTTCCAGATTCCAGAGAAAGTATAATTCACATGAATAGTTAATTAAAGGGGAGGACAGAATGCCAATTAAACAGTAGTTGGTGGTGCCAATCTCCAGCGTACAGTCATAATGGAGATGGGGAAAAAGAATGGTGTTGACAGAAAACATTTTTTAAAAAAGTCTTCAGTGTATTTTCTTTGTTTGAAATGCTTTTTTGTTTAGTCATTTCAGCAAACTGTTGTTATTGTGT